GAAAAGGCACTCACATCCACATTGTCAATGTCCAGGATGTGCGAGTGGAACTGGAGGCCCAGCGCCTTGGCCTGCTGGATCGGGTGGGCCAGCTGTCTGTAGGTCTGCAATAAGAGGCCAACATGCCTGTGAAATGACCGCCGGAGCACAAGCCATGCCAAGGCGCTGCACCACAGGAGGGCGGGCATACCCGCTGATGCCTGCCCACCCTAGGCCGGTGCCAGCATCCTGGGACACTCTCCCTATAAGGCAGCTCACCGGCAGTTTCGTGATTTCAGCTCTTGCACCTTCCAGAAATGGCCCCGGTGCCTGGGTGTGTTACGCCAGGAGCGGCAGATGCCAGGAGCATGGGTCCAAGCACAGAGGCTGGTGCCACCCGTTTGCTGGCTTGAGTCACACACTTCCCTCTCATTATAAAGACAGCACTGTGTCAGACTACCAAATGAAAGTGGTTTAATCAGTGGAGTAGGTAATTCTCCTGGAACACCATCTGAAATGCACTCGCAGGGGTATGTTGAGGCCTCCCTGGCTGATCTTAAATGTTCGCGCATTTACCTCACTCTGAGTCTTGGCCTGGAATCAAATGATTTTTCTAGGATTTGTTCTAACCCACAGGTGGCTCTGAAACCAACTGCCTTGTTTTCACTGACCAGCCTCTTGTGGGTGGCGGACTGCTACCGGCAGCCTGTTCTTCCTATAGGGGCAGTGGCACCATAAATGACACTCTTAACACCCTCGTGCCTGTTCTCAGGCCCAGGACACAGTCCTGGGACCTATGCAGTCTCGTATCGCAACAAGGCAACCATGATGGAAGACAGTCCAACGGTGTCTAGTTTTTATGGAAATAACCTATCCGATGAAAAAAAAAAAAAAGGTGTCCATCCTACTTCTTGTGTAGTTTCTTTAAAATGACATTTAAAAAACACCTCTGTGAGCAGCAACAATTTCAGCTGTGTTTCCAGGGGCACTGGCAGCTCTCTGGCAAAGAGAATCAGCCACCTCCTAATGGTCCCAAAGTAAAAAACAACAACAACAACAACAACAAAAACACACTCATAACTGCCTGCTGGATTAGTCACTGTGCAGGGGAGTGTTTAAAAAGAAAATCTGACATCTCTGCTTCTTCCAAGTTGTTTGTGAGCTGGTACAGAATAGAATCAGCCAAAAAGCCTCCGGATTGCTTAATACAAAGAAGCTGAAGAAAACACCCCATGAACACACAGGTCAGGGAGCAAGCAGGGTGAAGCGAGGCTGCCAGGAGCAGGGCAGACAGTGCGCTCCTGGAGATGCCTGGTCCCCGACTCTGGGGAGCAGGGGGGCCTCGTCAGGACCCTTGGCTCCTCCCCGGGTGGGAAATCTACCGACATCTGTTTTGATCCGAGTTCTGGGACCTTGCAGCAAGAACAGCTAATGAAATCATCCAGCACTTTGTGCATCCTGGAACACTGCTTCTGTGTTCGTGCTGTACCTTCATGACCTCATGGAATGGGGACAACAATGCAACTCTGGCCCAGGGAAGGGGGATGACGCGGGCCGCCGGGGCCTCAAACTGTACTCTCTCCAGCACCTGTGAGCGCTGGGGGAATGTCTGATGTACCCCAGAATAATTCATTGTCCCTTTCTACCTGACCCCTGGGCCTCCAGCCTATAGCCAAGGCCACTCTAGGCCATGGGGCCACCTGAAACGGGGCAGGTAGACGGGCCACACTGAAACTTCATCTTGCTAGGTCACTTCTCCTGTGGTCACTTTTTATCCTCACTATGAGCCTTCTTAACCAGAATTAAGATGCAGGAAGGGTTCTGAGTCACAGTGAGGCAGGAGGACCACCCCAGCCCCAGGAAAAGGGAGGAAAAGGAGAACGAGCTGGAAGGAGCGCCCCTGAGTAAGAGTTTAATGCACAGCGACCAGCCACCTGGCCCTCAGCAAGTCCTACAGGTTACGTGGCACCCGGCCCATGGTGTGGACGTGTACAACGTGCAGACAGACAGAAAGCTCTGTGCGAGCGAACATGTCGGACACAAGGACCCCTCTTCAACTAGGACACCAGGCCCTGTCATGCCCCTTCCAGACCAGCCGCCTGAGCAGATCTCCAAACTGTGATTTCTTTCTAGGCCTAAAGAGAAGAAAAAGGAAGTACTCACAGCTTCATAGCACCAGTCTTTGAGAATGTCAAGCTCTCCAGAAATCATGGCCTAAAAACGGAAAGACCGAAAAACAAGTGTGAGAAGGAGAGTGGGCTTCTGAGGCAGGAGAACTCCCAAGAACGTTCTCCAGTGACAGCCTTTCCTTTGCAGACTCCGCCCCCACCCTGTGGCTTCTGGGTGAGGAGGGAGCGGGGCTTGGGCCAGGCTTATGGCAGGGAGTGCCACCTCCTCGGGACCCTGGAAGCAAAGCCTCTGGTTATGTGACCATGGGGCGGCCCAGAGTGGGTTCCAGGGCCTGGTAGAAAGGAGACAAAGGTGGCAGCAGGCCAGGCTCTCACTCTGGCCAGGAAATTGAGCCAAGGAGGTGAGAAGCTGCTTTCTGCCTTCCCTGGGGACGAAGCTCTGGATGGCCAGGCCCACAGAGGGACAGAAAGTCTCCTGCCAGTGGGAGCAGCCTGGGGGAGGGGCGGGGGCAGAGTGGGAAGTCCTGGGAGTGGGTTCCCAAGGTAAAGTGGGGGTGCTTTTTCAGGAACCTGGAGTCAGGGCTTGATCTGGGGAACATCAGGGAGGAGCCCAGAGAGGGGAGGAGGGGGCCAGGTGCCCAAGGGAAACCGCAGGGCGGCCCGAGTCCTGAGCCACCCTCACCCCGAAGAAACTGCCTGAGCTCTCACTGCCATTTTTAGGAATCACTCCATCCCCACCTTTGCTCAGCCCTGCCCAAAGTGGCAACTGGAGGGAGAGGGGACATGTGGAGGCTGGTGGAAGGGAGGTGGTAGGCAGAGGGAACAGGCACCCACATCGGGTCAAAGGGCTTTTCTGCAGTCCCACTTGGGGCCTCCCAAAGGCCTGGCCTGGTTGGGCTGGAGGGTCCCCAGGCTCCAGCTACATCTTGGGGGCTACAGAAGGGCAGGGAAAAGGCAGCTGACCTTGTGGAGGGTGAGACCTTGAACAAGCTGCCCCCTCCTCATTTCTAAGCCAAAATAAGGGGGCAAGAGGACCAGAAGATGGGATTCAGGATTCCCAGAGACCTATGAGGGAGGAAAGCTCCACAGCTGCTGTGGTGGCCCTGGACCTGCCTCCCGACCCTGAGGGTCTGGCCTGAGCTCATGTGAATCCCTCCTCATGGCCCTCCTCATGGCTCACCCCAAGAGCAGGAGCCAGCTTCTCTCTGACTCCTGAAAGGACTCTGGTACCTGGGGACAAACACCTGACCCTGGCAGCCATGAGGGAATAACTTCAGACAGAGAACACGAGGAAAACAAGAAGTGAGAAGACTCAGTCTTGGGGGCAAGCGTACCCGTGAGTCTAGAAAATGTCAGAGCCACTGTCACCAGGACCAGAGGGGCACGTGCAAGCCTTTTTGGAGGGCCAGACTTGGGGGGGCTCTCAGGCCTCTGAAGATAAGCCTCGTCTCTGTTCAGAAAACACCCTCCTGGAGGAATTTTTGATCTGGTGAGGACCAAGGAGGGGCCTGCGGGGTTGGGCACCCACCTCCAGGACGTTGGGGATGATGTCGTTCTCGCATTGCTGCAGGAACCGCTCCTTGTCAAAGGCGGGGTCCACCCGCAGGATCTCCGTGAGCACCTCCGACATCTCCGTCTTCGAAAACAGGCCCCCTGGGGGCAGCCAAGCCAGGAGTGGGTAGGGGGCCTGGAACCTCTCCTTGTTGCCGACCCAGGGATGTGGGGGTGCGGCAGGATAATCCTGGGGACACTCACTCACCCAGCAAGTCTGTGACCTTGTCTGTCAGCACGCGGGAGGCCCGGATGAGTGCATTGTCACTCTCGTCATACTTCATCTTCATCTCGAAGAACCCTGCAGGAGACAGAGGCAGGGTCAGGCGTCCCTTCTGGAAAGTCCCTGAGTTCTGGGAGTTCTCTATGGCCTCTGCGTGATATATTCCAGACACAGGTCCGGTAAGTGAGGGGACCCCCTGAGCTGCTTCCTCAGCTGTGCACGAAGGCCCAGGCCCGCGGACCTACCTCAGGGGGCTGTGGGGACGGATCAGTGGTGGGCCTAAGGGGCTGTGAGAACAAGGAAACAGGCCTCTAGCGGCCCCACAGGACAAGGGATAACGCATGTGGCTCCACCCCGTGTTTGTCGGCATCTGGGAGCCCCATGCCCCAGCGAGAGCAGAGAACTCCATCCTCCCCAGGGCTCCTGGCCTCCCACCCTCCCTTAGGAAGGAGTATCTCCCGAAATCCCCAGCTGCACCACTGCGTCTGGCTACCCTACTGTGACCGCTAGCTCTGGCAAATGTCAAAATGGTGACCCAGTCCCAAGAGCAATATCCTTGCCCACCAGCCACTGAGAGGCCAACACCCCATTAATCTCACGGGGTGACCCTATGGAAATGAGTGGTCCTCTCTGCCCCAATCTCCTCCTCTGAAAAATGGGGGTCTGGTTTGTGCCCAGGACCCAGGAAGTGTTCAGTGTCTTCCATCATCTCGCTGCTGTCAGCCAAGTCTCAGCGACGTGAACACTCACTGTTGAACACCACGTTGTTGTCCCTGAAGTCCTTCCACTGCTGATACCACTTGGAGTCCTTATGCAGCACAACCCCCAGGGCCTCCCTGGGGGAGACAGGGTGGCCGGTGAGCAGAAGCCAGGGAGCCGCTGGGCCCGGGCCCATCACTGCGGGGAGAGGGCAGCAGGACAGCCCAAGCTAGTGGCCACGGTGACCCCGTCTTCATATCGTGGCCTCCTGTCTTCCCTCTTCCCCTTCCCACCACCTGCCCTCCCCCAAATTCTCTCAAGGGAGACAGGAACCTGGAGCAGAAAACAAACTCGATAACTGACTTCCGTGGGCCTGAAGGGGAGGCAGTGAGGGGTCCCTGGCTGCCCCGCTACCTACTCATTGGGCTCAAACACTTTCTCTTCCTTGAACTTCTCTCCGGCAAACTCCTTTCTTTTCCGGAGCCGTTCGGGCCTCCGGTAGGGCCCAGTCTGGCCCAGGACACTGTCGTCGATCTCCTTCTTCACTGACTCCACCCCCTGAAGGAGAGCACAGAAGGTGCGGGGCAGGTGCTGGGGACCTTTCTGACACCCCCAGACACCAGTGTCGGCCTGTGTGGTTGTGCCTAAAGTTGGGGAATGACTGCTATGAACCCCAACCTCAGGCCTGATGGTACCCTGGGGCCTCACCTTCCCCAGGTCTTGCGGTCACTCGGCCCAGAGCCCCTACCCAGCCCAGTGCAGGGTAATGACATGCTTGAGCCTCCTGTGCCTCCGGGGAGACCCCAGCTCCGCCTGACCACCACCCCCAGCCCTCCAGGAGCAGCAGACATGCCCTCACTGCCCCAGATGTCCTTGGATTATGAGACGGACACCTCGCTCTCCCTGGAAACCAGAGGAGCATCCTCGATTCCGCCTCTGCTCCACTCCTCAATCCAAGCAGACCCAACGTCTGTGTATCCGCCTTCCTGAAACTCTGGAATCCATTTTCTCCCCCTCCCCACCCATGGGCAACTGCACTAGGGTCCCCCAAGACACTCTCCAGCCTCCTCTGCGCCACTGCTGGACTTCTCGTTGGGTGGCTGTGCCTCTTCCACACTCAATATAGGCACACCTTATTTTATTGTGCCTCACAGATATTGTGTTTTTCTTTTTTTTTTTTTTTTTTTTAAATATTAAAGGTAAGACACTCCACCAGCAAAAAGATTACGACTCGCTGAAGGCTCAGATAATGGTTAGCATTTTTTAGTAATACAGTATTTTTTAATTAAGAGATGTACACTGTGTTTTTAGACATAATGCTATTACACACTTAATAGACTACAATAGAGTATAAACATAACTTTTACACACACTGGGAAACCGCAAAATTTCTATGGCCGGTATTATCATGGTATTCACTTTACTGCGGTGGATTGGAACCTGCAATATCTGAGAGCTGCTTGTAACCTTTTTTGGCTCCTTGTTGCTTCTTGGATGAAATCTGAAGTCTCCTGTGTGGCCTGCAAGACTGCTCCGATGGGCCCTGCTCTCCCTCCGACTCCCCTGCCATTGCTCTGGCCACACCAAGTTGTGTGGGACACACGAATGGGCTTTTTGCACTCCTTTTTAGGGCATGCTCCCTCTGCCTGCAACCCCTTCCCTGTGTGTTCTTCTGTCACATGTCGCTCAGGAACTGTGTGTCCCCTTCCTGTCCCCCAGGCCTCTTGAGAGCAGGAACTCAGACTTTTTCTCCTGGGGCCCCCATGACCAGCAGAGAGCCTGGCACAAGCTCAACAAGCGTTATCGGAATGAATTGAGGACCTCAAGTCACCCCAAGTGGGACAAATCTCTGGAGTATGAATGCAGCTCAGGATGCTGGCAGCTAAGAAAAGGCGAGAGGCTCACAGTGCATTACCCTGCAGCTCTCTAGGGCTATGACTTGCCCAAGGTCACCCAGCCAGGAGGGGTCTGAGGACCTGGCGCCTCAAGTGGGCCCTCCCCACCAGTCAGTCCCACTGCACTTCCCGCCCCAGTGCGGCCGTCTGTCTTTGGGGTTGAGCTCCAAGGTGGGAACTCTGGCTCTCAGCTCCGCAACGGGCCCCGGCGTCCAGCTCACCTGGGAGAGGGCTCTGAAGGCAGCCGTCCTGCCCAGCTTCTCCCCGCCCTTGGACACCGACTCAGCCGACTGCTTGGCGGTCTTGGCTGCTTCCTCCATACCCTCCTTGATTTTCCGGCCAAGGTCACTTTTACTGACTTCGTCAAGACTCTACTGAGACAGAAGTGTGCATGTGGGGCGGGGGGCGGTGTCAGCACAATACCCCTCAGGGGCCCACAGGCGCACTGAACTCCTCTGGCTCCTGAGGCCCTGAGACTCAGGCGCACACGTTCAAGAGCACTGCCTACAACTCCTGGGGTGCTGCACCCTCTGTCAGCTGGCCTTTCCCAGAATGGGCAGGAGCCCTAAGTCCCTACAGGAGCCACGGGAGCAGCAGCCTGAGGGTAAGAAAGAAGTTGAGGGTGTGCCCAACATGGGGCTGGCCTCACGTGGAGCCAACAACGGCGTAAAGCCCTGCCCCAGCTCTCCTGCCCACAAGAACAAAACAACCCTAAAGTAGCAAAACGAAAGCCCCCCGCACTGTCTAGGAGGGTCTCACTCCCATCTCCACTCACCCTTGATGGCAAAATGTCCCCTCCCCTTCTATGTTTAGGCAGGTGGAAAAAATCCTCATTTTATCCTCACATTCTGGATGTTTGCCCATCCACTTCTAACTTAAGTAGTAAACTGCCAGGCAGGTGGGCGAGTCCAACTTCCGCCCCTTCCTAAGGGGTATTGTGTATCTGCACTATGGACGCCTCCAGGCCAGGCCAGCTGTGTCCTCAATGGTCACCCAGCTCTCGCCCACACCTGTTCGACCGTGGCTGCTAGCACCGTTCTCCCGAAGCGGGGGGCACAGATGGGCCCTCAGAGCCTGGCCGGGAAACTGAGGTGGCCCAGAGACTGTTACCTCCTTCACAGTGCCCGTGATGGCCCCCAGCTTCTTCTTGATCACCTCGCTCGTCCGCACGGTTTCAGATTCGATGGTTTTCTACAGTAAAGAGTTACCATACAGCAGTTACTGGACAGCCACGGGCCCAAAGAAGCATTTTCTCAGCAGCCCCTTCCTCCTCCATACTCCCCGCACCTCAAGGGCCCATCACTGCCCCACCGTCTGGTCTGTGGATCTCAGCCACTAAAGGCAGACAGACGGGGACCCTCCTGAGCCCGGGAGCCCCTGGACCTGCATCTTTCTCTGGGCGGCAGGGCTTGATCCTGCCTGTCGGCTCGTCAGCATTCTGCTGCCCTGTTCTGTCCTCCACCCAGCCACCAGCCACTGCAGTGACTCCCACACCCTAGCCGCCCCAGCCAACCTAGGCTTGCTCTGCCCCCAAAGGACCACCCAGCCCACTCCCCTTCTTCAATGAAAGGAAAGGCCATCTTCCATGGGGTTGCATCCCCCACTGGCAGGAACCACACGGATAGTTACATCCATGTGAGTGACCTGGGGACACTCAGAGGCAATGAGCCTTGCCCATGGCCTGGGGTGTGGGTCAAGAGAAAACTGAAGGATCTGAGACAGGTGCCTGTACCCCATTCATAGTGGCAGGCACTTGGCAACTTCTCAGTAAGAGGTGGCAGCGGTAATTAGTAATTACACCAGCACTGTGTCCCACTCTACCCACTTCACCCAGAGGACAACGACCAGGAAGCTCCCAGGAACAGCGAATCTCAAACCCAGCACTCGAGGGATCATAGGGGTCCCATGGAGACGCAGATTCTAACCCAGCAGGTCAAGAGGCTCTGAAACCCTCATTTCTCACAAGCTCCCAAAAGAAGCCCGTGCTGCTGGTGTGCAGAACTGGAAGGCTAGGCGACCCGCTCCTGTCCCCTAGGCTGCTGTCATCAGTGAGGTGACCTCACCTCCACATTAGCTACTCCTTCCCCAACTGCACCCACACTGAGCTCCCTGCACTGTCCGGGACCAGGAAATTGCTAGCTCTGAAAGCAAGGGTGCCCACCGAAGGAGACACGAGGCAAAGGGACTCACATATTTCCTTCTGGCTTCCTGGAGCGCATCTGACTCTTCCAACTTCCGGGCTTCGTCTCGGAATTTTTTTATACTTTCTTTCATTTCTTTGTTTTTGGCTAATTCTTGTTTGATATTATCTAACAAGCCAGAGAGAAAGCCTTTTCTGTTTCCAGAAGAATAGGATTTGGACTAGAAAGAATGTAAAAGGAATGAAGGAGTTTTAATTTTCTCCTTTCTGTTGATAATGGGTTTAACAATGAATAGCTACCTTTTTTATATATATATAAGAATTATATAAATTTAAAAAACATCACACAATAAACTGCGGGACATCCAGACAACAAAGTATTATTCAGCAATAAAAAGAAATGAGCTGTCAAGCCATGAAAAGACATGTAGAAACCTTAAATGCATGTTATTAAGTGAAAGAAGCTGATCTGAAAAGGCTACAAACAGTATGATTCCAACTCTACAACTTTCTGGAAAAGGCCAAACTGTGGAGACAGTGAAAAGGTCAGTGGTTGCCAGGGGGAGGGTTCAGGATAAATAGGCGGAACACAGGATTTTTAGGGCAGTGGAACTATTCTGTATAATACTGTAACAGTGAATACATATCATTATATTTGTCAAAACCCAGAATATACAACACAGAGAGTGAACTCTACTGTAAACTATGGACTTCAGTTAATAATAATGTACCCATTTTGGCTCCCCTCCCATAACCGATGCCCCACCCTAATGCAAGATGTGAACAGAAAATTATGCTGGCGGGGAGAGTGAGACAGAAGTGTGCATGTGGGGCGTCTGCTCGATTTTTCTGTAAATCTAAAACTGCTCCAAAAATAAATAAATAAATAAAGTCCATTAAAAATGTAACAAAATGCCAGGCTCCTTCTTCAACAGAGGAGATGCTGGACAAGAAACAGGTGCAGCTTGGAATACTCACGGGGATTCTAACATGCTCGCCCAAGGCCAAGGCCATCACTGAAGGGGCCCTCACCCCAGGACTGGAGCCGAAAGGACTCTGGGGCCCCTCATCCCTAAGGAGCTGGCACAGGGTCAGGCTTCCTGGGCTTCTGGGGCCAAGGTAACTTCTTCCTCTGGGGTCACTCCCAAGTCCCCATCTGGGACTTTTATGTAACCCAAGGGACTGAGGACCGACACAAACCTCACTTTCTCAGCCCACAGGATCACAAAGACCAAGAGCCTGAGCTCAGCGTTCCTCTCCATGGGAAAACCCAACACACCCAGAGGCCATACTGCAGGGAGGCCAGAAGAGGCCCTGTTCCAGGCACAAGCACCAGCGCTATACAACGCTCAAGACACAAGCTTCCCAGTCAGACAGGGCTGGGTTTAGACCCTTGCTTTGCCACCTGTGGAACTAAGAGCAGACTCAGAAAAGAGAGAGCTTAAAGAATGACTGTGAGAGAGTCGAGGCACCGGGAAGTGGCGTGTGTGATCAGCCGCTCCCATCGCTCCCACCACGATGTGCTGGGTATGCCACTGCAGCTGGGGCCCCCTTTACCGGTTTCAGGGATGACAGCCTCCCTGGACTCTGTCAAGCTCCAGGGAAAGCTGTGCCAAGCCCAGCTGCTGCTCCACAGGAGGGGCGGCCAGGCCCGGTGCCGGCAGGCTGTCGTCTCGTCTACATGCACCCTGGCCAACCTTTCTCTCCAGGGGAGTCCACGTTCTAAGACTGCCAGGGACCGTGCCAACCGGTAGCAGCTCTGTCACTCACTCAAGGGCAACAAATTGTGGGCGAGTGAGAAACTGGGCAATAAGGGGAAGGGCCACAGGGCCTGTCCCATGGCCGTAACAGCCCCAGGAGAGGATCAGGGAGATGAAGTCTGAGTGAGGCGGGCACAAGTAACTAGCTGCCTGCATGGAAGCAGCCAAGATGAGGCTGGGAAGGGAGAGTGTGTGCCGCCCAGTGCGGTGTTGGGCTTTCCTCCCTGTGGTGATGAGGCACCAACAGAAGCATGGTTGAAGAGAAGTGACAAGGAAGGCAAAAGTTCTAGAAAACGCTACCTGTGAGGAATAACATAAAGGGTGGGGGAGATGGAGCCCGGGAAACTGAGCCCCAGGATATGATGGGTGACTCTGCTCAAATGCCTATAGGGCTGTCACCCAGAAAAGGAAATAACCTTGCTTGGTCAAGGAGCCACTGGTAGAAGACACAGGGACATGATTTCAGCTCAGTACAGAGGGTGCCTTTCCACCATCAGAGCTGACACAATGTGCTACTATGTCAAGCATGTCCGGAAATACAGAGAGGACCAGGCACACTGGACTCTGTAACTTCAAAAGCTTTGGATGTGGAATGCCTGTCAATCAGATGCCAGTGGCAATATGGGCAACATCCTGCAGCCCTCTCTCCTGTCAACTAGGTCTGGTTTTTCAGGCCTCCCCCTTCTGTCTGCTTGCTCATGTCCTAAGTTACTCACCAGGGGCAGTTCTCTACCTGGCCGGCGTATCTGATAGGTACCATGGGGTAGTGGCACTAGGTTGTGGCTGGACAGAAACTGGATTCCACTGCTGAGGCATCTCTAATTGGGGGAGAAAAAAGGAAGATCCATTCAGATAAGAAAGTGACTAAGAAGTAAGTAGGCCACGCTAAAAAAGCAGGGGTTGCCTGAGACTCATTTGCCAATTTTTATCACACACCCGCCACGTGCTAGATGCTCTACAATCTTCCCGAATTCTCAGAAGCCGGTGGAATCTGGTGGAAAGAGAAAACATTGGACCTCTGCCTCCAGGGCCCACATCTAGCCTTCCGCCTCTGAACCTGTGAGGAACCAGATGAGTCCCAGGAAATGCCAGCCCATGGTGGAAGAAGGCTAAATGTGTCAGTCCGATTTAATTCCTTAGTCTGAAAACGGGTAGGCTGAGTCTCAATGCCAGTGGCAAGCAGTCTTCTTTCACGAGCCCTCTCCACTTCTGCTGGCCTTGTAAGATCAGAGACTTAGGCTTTCAGAGGTAAACACTGATAACTTACTGTCCCAGGCACAATCCTGGAATAAACCAGGACTGCAAGCAAGGCAACTTAGGGAGTCACTTGGGCAAAGATGCTGCTATTCTCATGTGAAAGGCGTTTCTTCTCCTACCAAATAATGAACTTAAGCTCCGTGAGAGAACGGTCTGTGCAGGTCCCGTTCAACGCTGCACCCTAGCACCCAGCACAGAGCCAGGCACGTGGATGTCAATACCTGATGAAACCACTCTGCCATTTCCACATTTCCTGGGCCTTTCCTCTCCCTATTCCAAGCCTTCTGGCTCCAGGAACCCTAGGTGACATCTTAAACTTATACAGATGCCACCATCTCCCATAGCTACTCAAGAGTAACTCTTGGGAGTTTAAATAACTTGTTTTACTTCTCTAAATGCCTACACCCATTGATTCTGGAGCCACTGAATCCAGCAACAGTCTGAAATAGAAGTATATGGCTGTCTAACTTTAGAGAGCAATCCCACAGCAGAACCAAACCTGAGGGTGGGTCCCCCTCAGTCCTGTGTCTAAATCCAAACATGTGTAAATTCAACCTCTAAAACCTGACTCAAAAGACAAGCAGCCAAGAAAAAAATCAGCCCAGGGTCAAAGACACCTTCTTTCTCCCAACACTCAGATTCCAGTGAAATACTTTCCTTCCTCCTGGAGTCAGACTGACTCCAGCTTTGGATCAGGTCAGCCACTCATAGCTCAGAGAAGTGGGCAGGCTGCCAGTCTGTCTCGTTTCCTAACCTGTGAAACAGTAACAAGCAGCAGCAACATGTAGTACTATTTTCTGAGTGAGCTTCATGCCTTGACTCCCACCGCCCCCTAAGCCCAAATTTAGCAAGGGCAAGAGTAGCCTCTCTCGCTTTCACACGAACGGATAGGAGAGGCAATGCAGCAAATGCTCTCGGTAGAGGACATGGCATATAAACGTAAGCCATGACTGTCAAGGTTTTTTGCCTTCCCCTCGCTACTTTTTCTCCACTGGGCGCCAAGGCCACCATGAACTCCCCGGAGCACGTGGGGTCTGACCAGGAGGTGAGGCGCACCAATCCGCTCTCTGCCCAGCCCCAGCTACACCGCCCCGGCCCCGCACGCTCAGCGTCAGCTCTCAGGCCTCGCTCCAGTCCCCCTGCCCCGGCCTCAGCTGACCCAATGACCCATTCTCAAGCCACTCGCCGAGTCCGAGGAAGGACCGAGGGAGCCAGAAGCCCGAGCAGGCCCTGGAGGTCGCGGGCCCAGGGCTCCCTAGGCCGGGATCCCCTCAACACCCTCCCCCGGCCCCGCAGACGCGCTCACCCGCGGGCAGCCGCACCAGCCTCCCCGCAGCGCCGCCGCTGCCATGTTGCAGGATGCCGTGTGACCTTCTGTCGGCGCGGCCCGATGGCGTCATCACCCGTCGCGTCTTCCCCGAGCGCCTCGGGCCTGGGAAAAGCGGGCCCTGGCGGCGGGGCTGAGGCGAGCAAAGGCCTCTGATTGGATAGAACTCTCAAGGAGGCGGGCCTTCCTTGGACAGACGTCTCCCATAGAGGCGGGGCCTGAAAGAGGGAGGGGAATTCCTAGAGCTGTCCTATGATAGGACAGGATTTC